GTACGAAGGAGAAAATAAAAATGAAATATGCATACATTATATTGTGTTTAAATTGACTTTCCAAAATTGATATTTCCTAACCAGCGATTAGAGAACTGTTTATACAATTGATTAATTATAACATTCTTGTAAGATATTTGACAGTGATTGGTTTCGCAAATAATTGACAGTCAGCAGGACTCTTTCATTCACTATTTACCGATATTTGACACTTACACAAAACTTTTTACAAGACAGCTGACGCAGAAAAAGAAATTGAGTCTCTTTTTAAAATCGTAATCACTTTATGCAAGGCAGTAAAGCCACTAAGGCACAACGGGTTACTGAGTGTGAAAGAATCAGGAAATATTAAGGATTATAGCAGCATTCACCAATTTAAACAGAAGCGTTGCAGGAGATCCCAAAGTCGTTTAGAGGCCCTGGTTGAAGGCGATTTTAGTGAATAAATTTACTCTTTCGTATTTTTTGTGTAATTTTGGTAAATATATCCGTTAATATGTGATGTCAGTGTTATTTTCATTTTTGCGTAATTTAGATGACAATTTATCCATCACACCTTGTATATGATCCTTCCTTTATATATCCTTTTACAATCAAAACATCCGGTAGTGTAAAAAGGACGTTAATGATATCGCTTGATCTGGTTTTAGAGTTGTTTTTTATATTCTTAGTATTTTAATATGGCGTAGATGACTAGAAATTACAATTATTAGTTTAACAACCGCTCCGAAGTGACCATTAAAATATTACTGTTGATCTCCGATTTGCTATAGTTTTGTGCAATTAAGCTTTTTATTCAAAATCTTTTATTTATTTTTATATGAATGCAAGAAAAGTTGAATAAAAGCTTAATCGCAATATTTCATTTGTCGTCATCAGTGAAAGTTGTATATTTTTACTTACAAGTATATTTTAACCGATTTATTTTGAAGCCTTATTCTGTTGCCTGTAATGTTGAAAAGATTCGTTAACATTCAAAGGTTTGTTCGAGTCGTTGGACTGCTTGTGTTGCTCTGTTTATTACCAGATTTCATTTGATCGATTTTACGCGTATGTTCAAGTGTAGAATCCGTACTGAACCCCCCCCTAAAAAACCAGGCTTGTGTAGATTCCAAGGCCGTCTAGATTTCTATGCTTAGCAAACAAAAGAATCGCTTTATATATCTTTATTTCATTTTCGAAACTCCTTTTTTTTTTCAGAAAGATTTTATACCTGAAGAAGAGATTTATTGATTGATTTGATTGTTTAACGGCACATCAACTCCTTATGGGTCATTTAATACCGAAATTTAATTTTCTTGGGAAGCTTGGAAGTAATGAAAATATGTTATTCTGATTTCACATTTGAATACATGGTAAATACTCACCTTTTGTGCATATACGTTTGTATAGACATAATTACTAGAGGCGATGCTTCTTCATTATGTGCCATATACCCGCATAATGTAGGTGACCATGGCTCTCCACAACTTCCTGTCGCTCTTCCTTTTTAGCTTTTAATAAATTTTGTCTTTCTGTTATTTTTCCTAAACTCTGTTCCGCCATTCATTTACTCAAGCTCACTAGGTATGTTATGCGTTGTTTTCCATTTGCCCTCAATCTGTCCCGTGAGTATCAGATTCTCCAAGCCCTCCTTCCTCATTATGCACGTCAGAAATCTCTTCCTGGTGTTAAGTATTAGTTTCCTTTTTGTTTCAATTTTCTCCAAAAGACCAACACTTCGTCGATACCCCCATATTCGGTCAACGATATCCTCAGAATCCTTCTGTAGAACCACATTTCAAGTCTCTTCTTGATCTTTGAGGAGATCGTCCAGCACCCACTGTCATACAAGAAGACAGATATCACAGGCACTGTGGGACATTCCATTACAACAGAGTAGATGATCTGCAGTTTAATACTCTTCTTGTTTCTAGCGAAATTTTCCTGTTTCTCCGTACTCTACTTAGCTTTTGGAAGGCATCTTTGGCCAACCCAATAAACCTTTGGATCTCAGTGTTGCTCTTTTTATCCTTTGTTAAAACACTTCAAGTGGTGATATGCGTGTTTTATACTGAACTTTTGTTGAAGTCATATTTTGGAATACAGTTAGATTTCTTTAAGAAATTGTCGGATATTATATGGGTTAATGTCATGAAATAGTTCTTTCTTGTTGATTGTTTGGTAGAATTTTAAACAGATTTGTGTGAAGTCACTCCAGTTTGATATTATGTGTATATTGCTGCTAATTTTACTATGAATACGTATTACTGGTAATTTTTAAAATAAAAATGTATTGCTGGTATTTTTTACTATAAAATGTATTTTTTATACTTTCATAGGGTTTTGTTTTTGTTTGGGGGATATCTTTGGCCACAACTGGGACCTTAACAAGAGTTACCAATCTGGTTTAGAATGGATCTGGGAACAACAGCAATTAAGAAGTGGTTCCATGCTCCTCAAGACATCCAGTCTCCCGATTAGATGCCTTGCTAGTTCATCGTCATGGATTGGTCGAAACGGCGTCGTAACTACAACAACAACATGAGGAATGAATTCTTTTGTCCGAACTACTCTTCACATCCTAATGACTCATCTTGAAATCAAACGGGAATCTTCAAGTGTAGAATCTATACAGAAAAAGGGCTTGTGGGGATTCCAAGGCCTTGTAGATTTCTTTGCTCAGCAGAGAAAAGAATCGGTACATATATTTTTATTTCGTTTCGAAGCTTCTTCTTTTCTTCTGATAAATTTTATACCAGACGAAGAGTGTAGAATGGATTGGTCGAAACGTCGTCGTGACTACAAAAGCAACATGAGGAATGAATTCTGTTGTCCGAACTAATCTTCGAATCGTAATGATTCTTCTTGAAATTTAAGGGCCATTTCTATCAAGAACGTTGGTAACGTGAACTTCTGGCAAACAAGATCGTAACATCGAAATAACAATTATTACATTTAAAGGGATTTATTATACTAAGGGGTGCTGAAAAATGTTCGGCGCCCCTTATTGACCAAATGACCAAATATCCTAAATTTTATTGAGAGAACTACGGAGAATTTTCCAACATGCCATCGTACATTTGGTTTATCTTGGTTTTCAGGCAGCATTTTTGGAAACTTCCAGTCGTCAATCAGTTTTTGATTTTATAAGGAAAACATATGCCTGACGATGAATAAAGGATTATTCGAAAGTCCTTACATTATACACTACTAGCGATGGATGTCGCAAATAATAGCATTAATATTGCAGATTGATTCAATGTGTGA